TAAAGAAATTGAATATGAATGAGAAAAAAAATCAAAAAATAGTAAGAAATTTCATTCACTAAATGAAAAAGATTTGAAATCAGACAAGTAAAGATATAAAAACAGTATAGAAACAGATAAAGAAACAGACTAATAAGCATCATCAAGAGTCTGACATTATAATAAAAGATTTTATTTATCTAATATTAAAATCATATAAGATGAATTGATTAAGCTGTAAATTGACAGAGTAAAATATCAGTTTCTTTAAAATTCTGAAAAAAATAAGTAATGTCTACAAATTAAATCTTTCTATAATGATAAAGATTCATTTAATCTTCTTCTCAGACAAGCTATATAAGAACTTTATAGATTTTCTATCTGATTAAACTGTCAGACTATCAGACTCAATTGAAAAAGATGATGAGAATGAATAAAAAATAGATTATATACTGATCAGTTAAATAAGTCAGAGCAAGCTGTAGTATTAGATGCACTGAAAGAGATTTGATAAGAATTTTTCATAATATCTCACTCATAAATTTAAGAAATCATCATACACAATACAGAATTTTTATGAGGTCAATTCTACTAAAGTCAAATTACTAAAATATCTATATGAATGAATAAGAACATGAAAGACAGGCAGCTATCTGAAAGATGAAGACAATAACAATCTTCCAGCATGAGAGCATGCCTGTTTCTAGATTGAGAGATGATATTAGACTCAGTACCAGGGCTAATTTATCTTCATCATATGATCACACCTCATATGTAATCTAGTAGATCAGTTATAATCTAGTTATATGATCATATGAGCTGTTTATAATCTAAGCAGACTCTGACATCTTTTTTTTCTTATCAATCTTAATATTTCATTATATAGCAGTTAGCAATGCAGAGAGTTTCCCTTTTATACAGCTCATATTTACTCTCTAACAAACATAATATTTTATAAAATATAGATAAATAAATTTATAATATAATAAATATATTATTAAATATTATTTTAATAATTTTTTATAATCAAAAAGAATAAATTTATTAGAAGAAAAAAAGAAAATAAAAATTAAGAAAATAAATATAGAGATTTATATAAATTAATAAATGAAGAATAATTTTAATTAAAAGTTTTAATTATAAAAGAGTATTATTTAAATATTAATTTATTATATATACATTATTTATATTAAATAATTATAAAAATTATCTCATATATAAATTTAATTAAATTTATATAAAAAATAATATCATTTTTTTTTACATATTAATTCAGTTATTATATATTCTATAGTATTTAATATAAGTATTATTGTAGTATTAAAATTAGAATACAATAAATTGATTAAACAGTAAATAAAATTTAATTTTAATATAAATAAGAAATAAAAATTTTTAAATACTTATTCTACTATAAAAAAAATATATTTATTAAAATATTTAAAATAATTTTATAACTACTGAAATTACTTACTTAATAGAAATAAAAGTTTTATATTAAATTTATATATTTATTTCTAATAAGTTAATAAATTAACTTAGAATTGTTTTATAATTTTTATTAATTATAAAGATAAATAAGTATATTTTAATATTTTATTAAATAAAAAAATCTTAAAAAATATAAAAAGAAATTTAATTATTTAATATCTGTAAGAGAAAATAATTATTATTATTATAATAAAAAAGTCATATTAAAATATATTCAATGTTAATAAATTAAAAAAGTATAAATATATAAAATCTAAGAAGAAAATTCAATCTGACAGAAATACAATAAGAAAAGAAAATCAAACAGCTCATTATATTTGTTGCAGCAGTCATTGAATATATGATGAATGCTTTTTCATTATTTGAATTCTTAGCTCTGCAATTGTGATCATGAGTGCAACTGAAGTGCAATAACTGTGGTAATATTGAACTTAGAAGAACAACATGTTTTAATCCTGATATAATGTAATTTTTAATAATAATATGTTTTTTGGTGGAGATAGTTGCATTTAATCTATGTATAATAAATTTGAAGATTCGTTCGCTTGGGAGTTGTGTTATTTATTTGGAGTATTGGTTTCAAGGCATGGAGACCGAGTACTTTCAATTGACGTGTGAATGAATAAAAATAAAAGCATGCTTCATCCATTGGTTAATCCAACTGTTTGCAGCATCCGAAACACAACTTGCAGACTGCAGAGGGGTTTCAGCGGAAACCGCAGTGGCAGGTGAAAAACAGCAGTAAGCTATCAGCCACGAAAGGGGATAATAAAAAGGAGAAGAAATGGAAAATATAAATATAAAAACAAAGGAAATGAAATATACAAAAGTGAAAGAAAGGAGGCGTCGCTTCGTATAAGAATCATGGCGTTCATAAACCTTCATTGATGCTCCAAAAGATCCCCGCCCCGTCCGATCCCATGCCGATTCTCACTTTTTTTCCCTATTATATTGTTTTTTGGTTGAATCCCCTGATCCTCTCCCAGTCCACGATGCCCTTCCCCAGTAAAACTCCGCAGACCACCCCGCCAGAAAGAGATAGGTAAGAAAGGAACAAACGAATCAGAGAATTGTAGGAGGAAGCAGAAGAAGAAGAAGAAGAAGAAGAAGAAGAAGAAGAAGAAGAAGAAGAAAGAGAAGTATATGAATTGCCTGGCTTGGTCAAGACATCATCGAATCCCAATCCAGCTCAAAACCATAATACAACGAGATAACACTCACACGCCGATCGACCATTTGGTTACCGCCAACTAAAAACAGACGATTTCCAAAATTTCCGCACATGCTCCTGTCTACCCCAAAACAAATCTCTCGTCCTCAAACTCGCCCGCTGGAAGTGACTACTACTCCCATTCCCGCTACCTCTTCCTCCCCACCCACCACCACTACTACTACCACTACCAGCATCACCATACGCCCTAAAATTCTTCAACAAATCCTTCCTCCTCTCCTCCTCCCACCTCACCTTCTGCACCTGACTCCTCCCCGCCCCAAACCCTACCGGTCCCAACATAAGCATTATCGGCACCTCCATCTCCTCCCTCTGCTTCTCCTTCCACCCCTCACTCCCCGAAATCCTCGTCAGCGGCGCAAGGGCTTCATCCCAATTCCCAGTCCGCAACGTCGTGTTCTCAAAGTTAAACTCGCGCACCGTGCGCCGGTGCTCGAGGATGAAGGTGGATATCTGGCTGGCGTCTAGGAAGGCGTTTTCAATCTCTGCATATTGCAGGGAGGGGAATTTGAGGGGTTGCGGGGGTGCTGGGAAGCGGGTGGGGCAAAGGGTTGTGGAGGGTTCGGTGGCGGTGGGTTGGAGGCAGGGTTCTGTGGGGAAGGAGAGGGGGCAGGGGCCTTGCTGGCCGCGCCAGCGGAAGGTGAAGCGGATGAGGTTTGGGAAGGATTGGAGGTAGGAGTGGAGGAGCTTTAGGTGGTCTTGGGGTCTCTTTGTGCTGTTGCTGTTCTTCAAATGGTTGGAAGAACGGGAGGAGGAGGAGAAAGTGAAGGAGGAAGTGGTGGTGGTGGTGGTGGTGGTGGTAGAGTTGATGTTGTTGATGTTGTCGTCGTATGGAAAACTGTCCATTTCTATTGATAGGTTGCGAATTTGCGACCACCGTTTAAGTGCCCCGGGTGATGCGCCGAAGCCCAGGTTTGGCCGGAGGTAGAGAACTGCGCCTGGGTGTATGGGCTGGAGGGTGAGTGTCTCGAGTGATTTTAGAGGTGTCTGTTCAATTGCTATGCGTAGGGATATAAGGGCGTAGTCTACTACGCTGCGCCGGTAGCGGTGTCCAGCCACTTGGCCGTCGCATGTCACCTTCAGGTGTCGTAGTGAAGTCATGGCGTTGAATGCGCGAATGAACGAAGGGACATTCGCTACCGCGTGGAATAGAGGTGGGTACTGTTTTGTTAACAGTTCCGTCATTTCCCAGGTGCCATATCGGGGGAAACTGAGTCTGGATGCCGCGGGGCAGGAAGGATGTATTTGTGGTTCATAAACGAAGGTTTGTTCCTGTCCTGTAACGGGGTGTACCAGAGGTGGAAGAAAGGTTTCCGGGGTGTGAGGGATATTAAATTTAAGAGTTTTGATGTAGCTTCCAATGCGTTCCAGAGCGGCCATGCGTGCTGGACGGGTAAAGGTGCCATTTCGGAACGAGACTTCGACTTCTTTGAAGAGCACAGGGGCTGTGCGTTGGGCGAAGTCATGACACACCAGTCGCATGGATAAAAGATCTTCTTTTGGCAGGCAGTCGAGAAAGGCATCTCGTGTCAGATCTGTCCACCAGAATTGGAAGAAGGCGGCTGCGGACGCCATGCTTGGTAGTATAGTGGTGATTGTTATTGATCATAGCGGCTAGACAGCCGATTCCAGATACGACCCGTTCTTGAGAGGCTTTGTCAGTCATGACCTCGTCCAAAAAGAGGAATGAGGGATGAGGAAATGAATGATTTTGTGCCAATTGAATGATGGATATGGGTGGGAGAAACCAAACAAAATTACGAGAGAAAAGGACTGTATTTCGCATACAGATATTTGGAACAAGAGCTCTGCTCTGTTTGAGATCAAATAGATGCTGGTTAACTTGTGGTCTCTGTAAATAAATATATTTATGTCCGTGTATATTATGTAGAAAATAGAATGAAAAATATTTAGAAAACTGTAATGACGTTAAGAAGTATGCCTGATACTTCGAATATTGGGCTTTTGTGCGGTCAAAAAGGAGAGGAGAGTGCCCAAAATTGCCTAAGGAGGTGTCTCACTGGATGCTACACAGCGCAAAATGTTTCAAAACATATTGAAACAAAAATAAGGACTGAGAAACCGGGACAAACCAGATAATATAGGGTCCGTTGGCCAAAGGATCGGTTTCCATTTTGCGCCCGGGATGCCCAAGCAACCCGACAGTAGTAAGAAGACCGCGCCAAAAGACTAGAGAATATCGTCCTTGCTTTTTGCTGCTCCTCTCTTCTCGTGTCACATCGATAGCGTGAGTCACTTTACAGGAGCAAAAACAAATTTGTTCGCTGAGAAGAGCGGTCTAAGAAAAAAGCCAGAAGAACCGTTCAACCGTTCTGCAGAAGATAGTCGATAATCGCGAGATTGGAACGGTCGTGAACAGACATCCCGACGCGATGAGTGGCTGTAGGTAAGTAGCGTGTGGGACTTTCGGGGGGTTGCTTTTGAGGTCTGGGGTCCCGGTATGGCAGGCATCCCTGCTCCTTCGAGATCTTAGCTCCTCACCAGCCGCTGGATTACTCTGGGTTTCGTCCTGTGGGAGGTCCACCACGACATCAGCACGCTGAGTGGCTGGGAAACAATGCCTTGGCGTTTCGTCAGAAACAAATCCCATTCCTTCTGCACTAGTTATGCCCAACCAAGGCATGCTAACCAGAGAGAGCAAGGGGCGTACGCCCTGGATGTCGTATCCTGGACATACTTCAACCTATTTCGAACCAAACTAACCGCGAATGAACAAATGGCGTCTCGCGAAGACCCTTGGCAAATTTAAGACCCGTACGCGTTTCCCTTGACGTGAATTAAACGCGCGACATCGCGTACACCGCGGGAATGATGTGGTGGACGTCCGCGGTTGAGAACTTTGGAAGAGAGCATGCAGGGGGTTTACGATCCGATCTAACAGCTTTGAGAACACTGCACAGGGGGAATGAGGGGCTTCAACGTTGCATCTCGCAGGGCCTACTACAACCAATGTCCTGTCCAGGTTGGCGAGATAAATTTTGCGTTATTCGTCTGTGAGTGTTGGGGATGAAGGCCCGGTTTCATCTGCCGCCCAAGGAGACGATTATTCATTTGTTTGGTCTGTACACGAGGGGATCCAAGTTGAAAGTCTGGCCAACTGCGGAGCTACCACTCATGTGCTCCGCAATGGCAATGGACTAGATGACGGCAAGCACGTCGCGTTCTAGAGTCGTCCGTTGCGATACGCGTCCGTCGCATTGTCCAAAAGTCCAAAGAAAATTTGAGAAAAGGTTCCATTGATTGATCGGTAGACCCATTGGCAATGCTCCATGGGAAGTGCCTAGACTGTTAGATGCCACAGTGAATAAAATCCACGATGTCCGTGTCGAAAGAGCTGGTAGCAGCCAACGTTCTGCCATTTTTTCTTGTTTGGATTGTTTGAATATGGATCACGTAGCAATTGTGCATTCGCTAGCTGCTCAACAGAATAGATATTCGAGAAGGGCTGCATTCAACACTTCTATCCATCTCTCTCATTGCGTCGGTATGGGTGTGCCTCTTTCATAGTTAACCCACTGGTCCGTCAAACAAATGACAAAGAACCCATCCATGGGTCCCCTGATCAAAATGGGCACCCTAGGACAGGCACATGTCCTTTGTATAGAGCAGCTCGAAGGTACCAATTTGTTCCAAGGTTCGATTCTTTCAACCCCTACAAACAACAAGGCTCTGTTTAGAATTGAATTGTTGAAGAATGTCCATTGAATTAATTAACAAGGCTCCCACTGAGAAAACTAGATGACTAAGCGAGGACTAGCAGGGTGTCAAAAAATTAATATGGAACCACATGCACTCACGCAACTCGGGAAATCTCAACGATTCCATTAAAAAGGCAGAGACGGGCTTTGGGTGCGCCCTGAGGGCTTGGAAGTGAACAAGTAAGAAGGAATAGAAGCTGTAAATAAATTCACAGCGCTGCGCCATAACTAACGGTTGTGCCCCAACACAAATTTTTTTCGGCCGGTTATAAATACTTGGGCCAAAAACTCAAGGGCACTGGCGGGAAGTTTGTTCTCGAGTAGCAGCACCTTGACGGCCACGGACTTCGCAGCGACAAAGTTCTTGTCGAACTTTCCACTCCCCCGCATTCTGCCTGCTGCAAGGCACAAATTGACCGTCAACCCCCGGGGTTCCTCTGGATGTCACCCTCCTGACACACTACTTCTCTCTCCCGTTAAGCCGCATGAAGGTTGATGCCCAAAAGGCAACTTGAGTGTTGTACGCGGCTCTCCGTTTTCTCCCCTCCGCCCACTCAAGACGGGCTCCGAAAGGTGTCCCGAAGCCCAAGTTCCAGTCAGGCTGCATCAATCTGCCTTATTCCTGTCTCATAATTAAAGCCATTGCAAAACCATTGCATTCTGCTAATTTCGTGTTCCAAAGTTGTTTCGAACTTTCAACGATATCCATCTCCTCTAGCTGCCTCCATGGCCGCCCATCCCCCTCCCGGCCCCTGCACCATGAACGCAAGACCCCCTAATGATTCGATGTCCACAGACATCGAGATTGAAAATCTATTCCAAAATTTTAACGGTGACGTTGTAAAGTCTCCAGATTCGGCTCGAGATGAGGATTTATCCCAGCCCCTTACCGAGATTGTGCCGGAGAAAGATCTGCCACGAGTAGTCGCAGAAGATACCAATCGTCCATCATCTGCATCTTCTGCAGACTCAGAACTGGCTATAATTCAACACAGGCTTATTGAAATCGCAGATGACTTGACATCCCTCGACTCCCCCGACTCTTGGTCGTCTGCTAGATCAAACGAAAATACCCCATCCCACACGAGCACACAGGACCAAGAGAGAAGAAACCTGGATTTGATGGTACCAATGGATAAAGACAATGATATCCCCCCATCACGAGGCTTCAATGTCTCAGGCAAATCTCATGGACAAGTCTCAATTACAGAGAGAGATGAGAATCCACGGGATCTCGTTTTGTCACCTCCGCAAACTCGTAAACGCCCTCGAACTTCAGCCAATGCTGGTGCATCTACAAGTGGAATTCCTGAATCTAAACTTCGAAAAATTACTCCCTCTCCAGATTCTACAGGCTCCTCCCCACCGACCAACCCGGACAAGATAGATATACGCCAGATCTTCGCACTCTCTGGAAGTGACGATGACTTCGCTGAGATAGAACGTGAACAGCAGGAGGCTGAGAAGTGGCTTAGAAGGAAGAGGGAGCAAGAACGTGAGGATGAGGAATATGCTAGGAAATTGCAGCAGATGTGGAATGAATCTCCCAATCCCAGCAGGTTCGATTCTCCAAGTAGCAGCACATCACAACTGGGATCCACGTTAATTCATTCCCCATTTGGGTCTACCGCCATTGGAGGAAACCTATCCAGAGATGGAACTTCAGCCGATAAATCTGTTTTCAGCAAAGCAGGATTCCTTCCCGTACATGAGAACAAACCTGCACAGTCATCTAAGCTTAACAACGATTATGTCGAAATAAGCAGTGACAGCGACATCGAAGAGATTCTCCCAGGATCCAATCATATTCATGCGGGGCGTTCAACTCCATATAATCGAATTCAGCAACCCACACGTACAAGTGCGAGGGGACTCTGGCCGAAGCCAATTACAAGAGAAGCAACATCTTTTAACTTCTCTACTTCCTGTAATAAACCCAAAACTCAAGGTGAGGGTTTGGGATATCCATCCCTCGACAATCTAATGGGATTACCAAATTCGTTCCTTTTCGGAAAATCGCCCTACGATCTTTTACCCAACAGTCGCCTGAATGGATATGATGCCAGAAACCATACACCAAGTTCACGTTTAAATGGATATTCAAACTCTTACAACGATGATTGTGCGTTGAATGACGAAATTGCCAACTTGATTTCCAGAACTGCCTGGGAGTTTGAGACATCTGGCATGAGTGTAAGGTACGTAGCTCGATCTTATGTTACCTTTTGGCAAGTTTCGGCAGTTCGAAATTTACAAAGCTGACCTTCTTACAGTAACATGAATTCAAGGCTTTACGATCAGATAACGCCCAAAACTACAATGGACGAATTGAAAAAGCTCTTGGAGAATATTCGACCCGACCAGGACCTTGATATAAATCGAGAAGGCACGCCGGCAGCCCTACAATGCACGTTGATGGAACATCAGAAGCTTGGTTTAACGTGGATGAAATCCATGGAAGAAGGTTCTAATAAAGGTGGCATTTTGGCCGATGACATGGGCCTGGGGAAAACCATACAGGCATTGGCACTCATGGTTTCTCGACCTTCAGAGAGACCGGAATGGAAAACGAATCTCATAATTGCGCCTGTTGCCCTAGTTCAACAATGGAAACGTGAAATCGAACGGATGATCAAACCAAGACATCAACTAAAAGTATTTGTCCTGCATAACGGCAAACGTAACGTGCCGTACAGCACTCTGAAAACGTACGATGTTGTCCTGACCACTTATGGGACTCTAGCGGCAGAGTTTAAAAGAAAGGAGTTTGCGGACAGGATTAAAATCGATAATCCACATACTTACCAAAATCTCCCTGATGATGCGATTAATTTGCCCCTTCTTGGGGAAGAGTCTAAGTGGTATCGTGTGATTCTTGACGAGGCGCAATGCATCAAAAACAAAGACACCAAGTCCGCCCGGGCGTGCTCCCAATTGCACTCGATATACAGGTGGTGTATGAGTGGCACCCCTATGATGAACAATGTGTTGGAGCTTTTCTCTCTGATTAAATTTTTGAGAATCAAACCGTACCATAATATCGAAACTTTTAATACTGTGAGTGGTTCCCCCCATCCCCCTTAAACTTTTTCCCCCTTTTTTTTTTTTTTTTTTTTTTTTTTTTTTTTTTTAATTAACCAAAAAAATGGTACTTTGAGGATTGCTAACGATGACGTAAAACAGATATTTGCGAGGCCCTTGAAAAGTGGGGTTGAACATCTTCAGAATCGGGCCATGGAGAAGCTTCAAGCCCTGTTGAAAGCTATACTTTTACGTCGGACTAAAAGATCGAAGATCGATGGCAAGCAGATTCTGCAGCTGCCCCCGCGGACCACTGAGAAGACATATGCTGTTTTCAGCGAAGACGAACAGGCACTTTACAGAGCCCTGGAATCCCAAACCCAGCTTCAGTTTAACAGATATCTTCGCGCGAATACAGTTGGCCGTAATTATTCAAACGTTCTCGTTTTGCTACTGCGGCTGCGACAGGCATGTTGTCATCCTCACTTGATGACTGATTTTGGAATCGATTTCAATGGCCCCGACACCGAAGGAATTGATATGGTTGCAAATGCGAAGGAATTTCCGCCAAATGTTGTCGCACGTCTTAAGGAGAACGAAACCTCGGAGTGCCCCGTGTGCATCGATGTGGTGGAAAATGCAGTTATCTTTTTTCCATGTGGCCATAGTACCTGTGCTGAGTGTTTTGCTAGAATATCTGATCCTTCTCAAAGGCTGATGCAAGGAGACGAGGGCTCCCTTATCATTAAGTGCCCTAGTTGCCGTGGAATGGTCAACACGAAAAAGGTCACTGATTATATCTCTTTTAAGAAAGTCTTTTACTCAGAGCCCGAGGAGGCAGCTGTAGAGGACGGCCAAGATGCTGAAGATGCTGAGGCAGATACTGACAGTCTGGCTGACTTTCTGGCTGACGATGATGCCGATGATTCAAACCCTCCCCCCGGAAAACCAAAAGACCATAAACAGGATCGAAAGGGCAAGGGCAAGGCTATTGAAAAAGCCAGAAAGTCACTCCCACAGCTGAAAAAAGATGCCACGAAAAGCGCCGAAGGGAAACGGGAGTATCTTCGTCACCTGACCGAAAATTGGGAGACGAGCGCTAAGATCGAGAAAACAATGGAGATTCTCCATGATATTCAATCCCGCATTCCGACTGGCGATGACAAGCCCGAGAAAACCATTATATTCAGCCAGTTCACGTCCCTGCTTGACCTTCTCGAAGTTCCTATCCTGCGAAAAGGATGGGGCTATCGCCGATATGACGGCAGCATGAACCCTAACCAGCGAAACGAAGCCGTCATGAAGTTCACGGATAGCAAAGACTGTACAATCATGCTTGTGTCCCTCAAGGCGGGTAATGCAGGTCTAAACCTTGTGGCCGCTTCGCAGGTTATTATCTTTGACCCCTTCTGGAACCCGTACATTGAGGAGCAGGCGATTGATCGGGCTCATCGCATTGGCCAGGTGCGGCCGGTTGTAGTTCATCGAATTCTTGTCAAGAATACGGTTGAAGATCGTATACTTGACCTGCAGGAAAAGAAGCGGACTTTGATTGAAGGGGCGCTGGATGAGGGTGCTAGTCAGAGAATTGGACGCCTAGGAACACGCGAGCTTGCGTTTCTTTTTGTAGGTTTCTTTTCTTCTGTTTTTCTTATGTTATCTCCTTGGGCTGGATTTTGATGTTGATGAAGCGGAACTACTTGCTAACGATTTTGGTCTGATAGGGTGTTTCGGAGAATTAGACTTGGACTTGCTGTATTGAATGCTGTCTGTGGTCACGGCGTTAATTTACTTCTAACTTCTTGTGTTCACCACCTAACAAGAAGCCTATCGGTTGGTGTGTTTTTGCTCCTACGGAATTTTCCTCGACAGTTGTTCTCAATCTATCCAATGACTCCGGCGTTACGCCTCTCCTTACACGGCATCGATAAAGTGGAATGTGGGTACTGTAGGTCACGATTATGATTAGATTCCACAAAACTCTGTTACACCCCCCCTCTATGATGTAACCTTTTAATTTCTGATTCCCCAGCACGTTTGTTAACCGCCTTTTAATCCTCCCCCCTTTATTGCTTTATCCTCCCCTATACCCCTATATTCAGTTTCTGTCTTTTCCCTTCATCCCCCGATGCGCAGATACTCACCCCTGTTCCACTTATTCCGGCGATCCATTAATCGTAGAAGTCTGTATTCTTTTGCCCTGTTTCTCCCCCATTCTCACTTCACCACATGAATTTCCCTCTTCTAGATGTTTACATCTGTTGACGATAGATGTCTTTGCGCATGCAGCCACTCCCCCGTTTTGTATTTCTTTTGTAATTACAACCTTTCTTCCACTCCCTGTTTCATACCCCCCTTCTTCCTCACGCTGCGCGTCTACACGACCCACCTTCTTCCATTGACTTACACCTATTCATTTTCCTTTCGGGTTTTGTTTATTTGGGCGAAAAAGAATTGAATGGAGCAATCACGTGTGGAATTTGGTATGTTTCCCAAGGAGAATTATTTGCAGTGGTTTTCCCATGTGTTAGTTTTCCAACTTTTTCAAGAGATATTTTTCTTCCCTCTGTCAAAATGACTCCGTTTAGACTCCTACACTAGATTTTATTTGGAAGAATCCTCGTCTATTACGGATATTCTTCCACACAATTGAAAGCCGCGCGCTCTTTCAGAGTACCATCCGTGCTCGCCTAGAAGCAGCTGCAGTTTATCCATTTCACCACTGGTTCTATCCGAAGGGGAGCCTAGGATTTATATATAAGCAATAATATGAGTTGCCAGAGATTCATAATAAATGACCTCTTATATGAATAAGAGTGTAAAAGAAACCCAGAGGAGCGTGAATGTATGCTTCCTCTCCAACCCTCCTTTTCCCTTGCGCGCGTTTATGATGAGCTTATCAGCTATTATTCATTGAACATGGACATCCTTAATACCTACCAATGAAAAAAGGCAGGGAATTTTCGCAAGCTATAGAGGGGTTCAGCGATAACATGTTAATATTTCCTTTCTAAACCCTCCCAATAAAAATAGTAGAAGGGGAAAAGAGGACCTGGATAAATATACTCCCCCAGTCAATTCGAGGACTTCCATCTGTCTTACTTTCTATCAGAGAACCCAACGTATTTCGTGTTTACAATTAAGTAATAGTATCCATGGTTGGAAGAGGTGAAGTGGGAGTACATCATCAACACAAATAACCTTTGAATATACGGTAAATACACAATATAGATAAGAAACTTCTCAGCACAAATTTCTGTCCTCCCTTCCAACCCATTCAGCTGTTCAGAAAAGAAAAAAACAATTTCAGGGTACATTGCGAAGAACAAACCTTGGAAATAAAGTCCGCTGATAAGGTGTTAAGATAGAGTAGATGCTTTTAGGGATGTCTAAACTACTTTGAAAAGACAAACTAAATATCAGGACAACATGAAAAACAAATAAGCCACAAAATTAACAAACATGATATAAGGGGAAAAAGTTGGAACACAGAAGATTTGTCTGTTTCCAAAAAATATTTCTTCCCTTTTATCATCCTTCCCAACCATCCATTCAAAACCTCCACCCTCGTCGACATGATATTTTTCTGTTGGTTTGTACGTGTAATATTATGGATTTGTTTCCGTCCATTGGCGAACCTCCAAAACTCCCTTTCTCGCTCAGTGTGTTTCGACTCTTGCTTATCTCCAGTCACTAATATCATTACCACGTAAAATTTTAGCATATTACTCTTTTAATTTTTCCATCTTTAGCTTGCAAGTTCTGAGTATACATAAACTGGCTTTTCCATTTTCCCTTTTCTTCAGAGTATTTTCATTACAACATTGCAGAATTTGGCTTAGAAATCGGCATCCTCCTCATCAGGAAGAGGCATTTGAGCAGCTTCCTTCATCTCCGCCTCCGCTGCGGCAATCGCCGCAGCGTCAACTGCGGTCTCAGGTGGAGCGAGGGCAATATCAGCAACGAATTCCTATTGGTTTGATGGTGTTAGAGAAAATAGCACTCAACAACGACCTTTTCTTAGGGGAGGAGAGAAGCTTACCAAACCAGGATTACCAACTAGCTTTCTCGCGAGCCAGAGGAAGGGCTTCTCGAAGTTATAATTGGACTTGGCGGAGATATCGTAGTACTGGAGGTTCTTTTTGCGGTGGAAAGTGATGGTCTTGGCTTTCACTTTCCGCTCCTTGACGTCGACCTTGTTTCCACAGAGGACGATGGGAACATTTTCACAGACACGAACCAGGTCACCTATATAGACATGAGTAACCGGAACTAAGGTTGAATCGCGACAGATACGATTCCGGGAAATACTTACGATGCCAAGATGGGACGTTTTTGTAGGTAATACGGGAAGTGACGTCGAACATGATAATGCCACACTGGCCGTTGATATAGTAACCATCTCTTAGACCACCGAACTTCTCTTGTCCGGCAGTATCCCACACATCGAACTGGATGGCTCCCAGATTCTGTATTTTTCCAGAATGTTGTTAGATAGCTGCGATAACCGAAAATTCACGAGAGGGAGGAGTTGAATCGCTGGGCATGTTCCGCACCGTCTGGAATTTGAGGGGGTGGACTTCAACACCAAGAGTAGCAATGTATTTCTTCTCGAATTCACCAGTAATGTGGCGCTTGACGAATGTGGTCTATTATATTTGAAATAAAAACGTTAGAGATAGGCTTATTTTTAATGGGAAATAAGAAGTAGTGGTTGATGATAGACACAATTCTCGGGGGCCAGGAACAGGCATGTTGTTGTTACGGTAGTGGGAGAGGGGTAACGAGGGGGTTAACTTGTAAAGACGGTGCTTTTGCCCCAGGGTCAAAGCAGGAAAGATAGATTTCAAGAAAAGTCCGCGTGAATGATTTCTCCTATCCTTACCTTGCCAGTACCACCGTCACCGACGAGGACGAGCTTGAAGGTGGGAGGGGCTTGTACAGCCATGACGATGTTGAGGAATGCAAGTGCAGGGAGGGGTTAACCAGGAAACGAGACCTTAGTTGAAGGGCGTTTCTCCGGGTAGATATCTAGAAGATGAGCAGATAGGAATTATCAAATGCAGGAAAATGGATGGGTAAATGGCCGTGACGTGGAAATGATGAGTTGGAAACGTTGTGAGATGGAAGATGGGAGGACTGGGGAGTTGGGGAGTTGGAGAGAGTGGATAGAATAAAAATCTTTGGGGCTCTGTTGTTTTTTAGCAGAAGTCTGTGACAACAAACGCAGACATCGGGTCACGTGGTCGCATTTGCCCCAAAACGATATACTCGCGTTGCAGCCCTGATTTATTTGATGATTTGTATGGACTTGTGCTGTAATTATGTACTGTACATATGCCAATTTGGGTGTACTTAATTACTGTGCTGAATGATGAAATTGTACATACATGCCTTCATGACTTGTTATTTTCTATACTGTCAAGTCTGCTTCTATAGTTACAGAGTTCACATATTATTAATAACAATTATCCTGATATCTTGTTTTTAGAGCCAGTTACTTCTTTGTTGCTGACACATGCTCCATCCTTTTACTTTGACTGTCAATGGAGTAATATGCTTTAGTGGGATCTTGTTTCCAAGATTAGCTCAGTTCGTTGTGGGAACAATCTCTCACTCTCTACTCTCAAGGCCATCATTTGGTGTTACATGGGAGAGGTTAAAGATAAATGATAGCCCATCCTCAAAAGGTGAATTAGTTTTGTAGTCACATAAACCTAACCCATATAGTTGCAGGATACAATTTGAATATAAATCCTACACAGAAAAATATAAGAAGAAATTTAACAGAGGATCCTCGGTGAATCTCGTACAATAAAACATAAATATTGAAATGGAAAATCAAACTGCCATACCCTCGTAATAGCCTGATTGCTTCAGCCTGTCCTCTAAACTCCGTATCTGAAGAGTAGAAGAAAGACTTCGGATTGTTAAAAATAAAAATGGAAAAAAGGGTTCCCTGAAGAAGCTAGTTCAGGCGACAATTCATGCTAACATGAGATGGCATCCCATGTAGCCTCGACCCCCCCAGCCTAGCCGAGGCACCAGCGTTACAGTGATATCTGTCTCAATGCCAGATTCATTTTTTCGAACCAACTTAACTAGGAGATTTTTCTGAAACACAGAATAGATATAAGTCAGTAAGAAAAAAAAAAAATTGAATCCTCAAAATTAGAGAGCTAGGCGAAAAAAGGAAAATGAAAGAACAAGGCCGGTAGACAGGCGTGTCTGTGTAAATAAAAACAGCAAACAAACATACCTCATCATGCGTCCGCACTATCTCCGCCACCTTGGTAAGGTTCTCATGGTTCATCCAGTTAATGTGTCCAAAACTGCGAACTAAGTCACCAACTTTCATACCCGCCTGCTCCGCCGGGCTTCCCTCCATCACACTGTTAATCTTGGCAAATGGTATCTCTCTCACCGCGGATTGAGAGCTGGGTGACTCTTCCACGGCCGGTGATGTGGTTGATTGAGTATCTGGGGCCGAAGTCGTCGTCCCTGACGCTGACGACGGGGGAGAGTTCGCATTTTGTTGTTGTTGTTGTAGTTGTTGAAGCTGGGCGAAGCGGCTGTGGACGCATTGCTCCACCTTGATCATGATATCTTTGTAATCGTTCTGAAGGTGGATTATTCGAGCTCGCGTCGTGCGGACTTTGGGTGGGGTGGGTTAGCATAATTTTGTTGTATCATTTTATTTGTACTCCTTTTATATCACGGTATATGTAATGGTTGGTAGGGAGAGGGTTACGACGGCAGAGAAGAGAGGAGACGCACTCTGCGCAATATCCAGATCGTCCCTGGGGTATCCATCGAATGTAGTCAAGCTCGTCGACATAGTTACCCCATGCTATATTGTTTGTAGAGCATATGTTGATTAGCTAAATCTGCACACACTCCCTGCAACGCATATGCGGGGAAATGACCTCATCGGTTCAGAGAAATATCACCATGTTCTTGTGGGACCAGGGAGGTACGAGCACAAACACATACAGAGTCAAGCACATTGCTCAGCGCCTTGAGTTCATTTTCTATCAATCTCTTCTCTTCATAGAGCTCGTTCAGGGATAGAGACGACAGATCGCGGCTATTTACGAATCCTCGCGCGGAGGTTGGCCCTGAGGCCACTGTGGGTGCGTGTATGTTGTTCATTAGAATGCCCATGTCGAGGGGGTCATGTCTCAGGGTGGCTTAAGTCATTGCACGGCGCTGGAGGTGTTATGGAAAAAAGAGTGGCTATGACAACTAAGATAAGGGGGGAGGGGTTAGACAAACAAACTGAGGGGTAGCTTGGTTAGCAGAAGGCTACGTATAATATATACCAGAGGCAGATTTACACTCTCGTTAACCACTTTGATGCCGCTCGCCTGGAGATGTGGCGGTGCTGCCAAGAAAGCCAAGCCATTTCCGCTCACGATCTGTAACCGCAAGACTAACAAGCATCTATATAATAGTAGCTAGTTATAGGATAATGTGTTGGTTGGACTTACAATTGTATTCTTACGGTTCTTAGATACGAATATTTAACAAAAGTCTATGTATGCCTATACACCTTTTATATATATATATATATATTTTATATCGTTATATATTCATATCTTCATTTTAATTTGGAGTTGCATGTCATCTTGTTCCGGAATTAGGGTTAACTAATACCTCTATCTGTTTGATACATGACATTCAAATTTCATATATGGGCTATTAAGAATTGATGAAGCTATATCTCACTTTTCACATTTTATATACATCACCGGAGTCAATGACCTTCCAAAAAGATATATCAGACTCGTTGCAGGTGCAATTGGCTGCCGTTGTTTGCGGCTCTCGTCTCATCGAATATATCGGGCGAACAAAGATGTTGGGCAGGGTTGCCCGGGCAGCCGCCCGCCGCACATGATATTGGCGCAACAGCAATCTTCCACGGACTTAGAGCCTGAGGATGGAAGGACAATGCGATTTTGCAGGCAAGGGAGGAATGTTAATAGCCATTAGGAAATACTTCAGAGAGCCTGTGCAGGAAAAAACATACAGAGAGTATGATGAACCCAGCAGAAAATGGCCATGTCGCGGCTTGCAGGCACAGGCTTTGAAAGAGCAACATATCCCCAGAGGTAATTCATTAATAGGAGGTATGTTTTTTAGTACAGGACTGTCTGGATAAGTTATCTAAGAATCTTCTTAGACCTGAATCATTATATAAACTCACCCAGCAACACTTCAATCAAGTTCTCGCTGCTGCTGTAACTTCGGTAACTGAACGCAACAGCGCACACATCACACATCAGGTTGTTGATACAATGCAAGGATCACATCCACTCCCTTCTGCAATTTTCCCGACTCGACAATGTCCATAACTGATACCTGCTCATTACGCAAGGCCGCAAGCGTTCCGCAACCCACTGACTGGTTATTTTCGGGGTTCTATAAATGGGGCAACGCCGTGGGCGGCAGCGGGCAGCTTCTCGGATCTAACGGCTACCAATATGGCCAATGAATCAACCATCTGCTTGAATTCGCCATGGCAATCACCACATATGCTCTACATTAACTAAAACCCAACGACTACAGTGCTTTGACACTATGTGTAACAGGCAATCATATCCAGAATCCTCCTCTTTCGTCATTTCTGCGACGTTTTCTCAATCGTAAAACTCATAATTCATCCGATCTTTTTAGTTTCCGTTGCTTCGACTTTCTGCCTCAGATTCGCGCTGTTTGGAAGCTTTATTATTCCCTATCGAGTGAGCTCCTCCTTGTTTGAAATGCTAGCATGATAGTACGACCCTGAATATTGAAGCTCAGACGAGCGTCTAATACTACTCTATATGTATAGATCAGTCACGCGTATTGAATGGACAGCCGGCCACATTTATACTTACAAACCCCCATCTTTCATGTCTTTCTGAATCTCTTCAATATCTGGCTTTGTGAGGAGTTCTCGTTGAATCTCTAAATAAACCATTCGAAGCCTCCTTGGGTTTTAAAGATATAAGTTGAGACTTCTTGTAGAGGGTAATCTTTGATCCAATTCCCAGAAGTTGGAACGACTCATACTTGAAATTTTGGCTCTCGAGGGTCTGCCAATGCAGTACGCATGTTGCGGCGTATAGCGGAACGTCATGTGGAGCGCGAGAGCCGACCATGAAAAGAAATACTCAACAGCTTGACGAACATGCTGCATATTTCTCAGTGAATGTCATTGACAAGTAATCTGCATCACTTACCTTCTCATCTAGCGCGTTGATCTTGCAAAAGTCCAATCCCTCAAGGGTTCTGAAGGGTATTGTCTTAGCAGCAAACTCATGAACTCTTCATCCAGTAGCAGAATCTGCTCTGATAAAGAAACCTTCAGTGTCAATGAAACTAAAACCCTCCTGTTGCAGCGGGTTTGAAGACGCCAACATCGCATTCAGTTGCAGTTTAATGTTTTAAGATGAATAAGCAAGACTCTTTCTTGTTTTTCACAGTGGGTTTGATGATGTGTGAACAGCTGGGCCAGCTTTTATCACATACCCTCTTGGTGCCTCATGACCACTACGTGGTGTAGAGGAGAGAGAGAGCATGCACCGGTGGGGGTAGTTACTTGGAAAATAATTTCGTTTTGATTTTCCTAGAAAATAATGTCCAGGCTCTATTAACGTGTTCAGAAATGATATCTATACATGCCAAAACATAGCTATGCATTCATAGGGGGTCACCTGATAGTTATCCATAACACCCCCCCAATTCGACGAGGACTTTGTGAGTGTTGTTTCTTCTGGTCTGTAATTTTTCTTGATCATTTTTATATAATCATTGCTGGGTCACTTCTCTGACTGGCAATATGTCGTGCGGAGTAGAGGAGTAGAAATTCGGGAAGGGAAATATCACATTGATCACACAACACTGCGTCATTGCTAAGTTCGATGGGGCCGTCATTTCTTCGGCTCTTTTATCTGATCGTGCAGATAGTCCTTGAGAGGGGGGTTATCGGTTTTCGTCGAGCAGAACCGATGCGCCGAACGCCGTATTACACAATTAGTTACCACTCCACAAACCATTGCTCTCAAACACAGTCTCGATGAGTTGGAGCTCTTTGCTGAAACAAGTCATCATCAGTCTCCTCTTTCCTTCTTGCCGAGTTAGCAGACACATCGGACAGAGCACTCCGTAACTGTAGTAGCTCGTTAAAATCAAATATCATCGCATGTTGGCAGGTCAGGTTCCAAAGTATATTTCACAGCTCTGCGTCGCCATGGAGAACTCCTTTCAAGTGAATGGCTTGGAGGACACGGTGTACCATGGAGGATACATCTGCCATATGGCTGATTATCTTAACATTTTGGATCCCTTCGCCAGCTCAGCTCAAAAATAACATTTGGGTGTAGATTCTGTCATCATAGTAATGGAGATACTTTTGACAGCATCAGGAGGACACCAAGACAGACTGGAATGCATTCATCTTGAAAATCCTAGAGCTCACCATAGATCTTTTTTTCATGTATTCACGTATAATGAGAGTCTCATCTTGAACAGTGCCTCACACCTACCTGCACTGTAGAGAGGACAGTAGTCAGCATCCAGGCTATAATTCATGACAAGCTGCTTCTGAGTACAAGCATGAAAGCTGTGTATCTTGATCCAGCTCTTCTGATGAACTTAATAGTTGAAGCATGATGAATCAAAAAAGAGCTATCATTTTTAAGTGCAAGAAAATATTGCTGGGAGTAATATAAGTTTTGAAGACTAACTAATATTTTAAAGTTAGTTAACGTAGTCTATCATCTTCGTAATCACATCATCCCCCACCCAAATCTAACAAATTGAGGAATCAAGCAACCACCAAACTAGAATTTCTTATATAATTTATATAGATCTATTCCTTAGGTCTGTTGGCAAGTTCTAGCAGCATGACCAAATAAATTACACTTGCTGCAGCGTGGCGGAGCTCGCTTTCTAGGCGGCTGGTTCGAATCCTCTACCCACTTCTGTATGTATCCCCTTCTGCATGGCTTGATCAATTCCTTGAGCTCTAGCTATTCATCCCTCAGCTGTTAGAGCTCCATTCTGAGCTATAAATATATGAGCTTGCTCCTTCTTGCGCTTTTTCTTTTCAACTGCAGCTCTTAGCTCCTTATTTTCCTTTGCTAAGATAGCAGCACTGTGCATGCCAGCTGGCATTTCTTAACCAGCTGATAAACTGCTTGATTGGTTGGACTGGACAGCAGCTCCATACGCTGCTTGATCTTGCTGCTTTGAAGTTCTGACTGCCTCACATTCTTAGGCGTTTGAAGAGTATAGGACAGATCCATGAGAAGCGCCTGGGGGAGTAGGAGCATGAATGAGTATGTAGGCGTGTTAAGAACCTCATCCGGATTGTACAGCACTAGATCCATCCTTAACAGCACCTTGAATCCTCCGTTCTGGCTGCTGGATAGAGTCCTAGAAAATCCTCCTATGATTGATCTCTAATTTTATATAGTTCTCAACCCTTTCAAAAGATTTGTACCATTATCAATAATAGGATGGCCAGAGGCGGACATCCTAGGGTTTAGGGCATAGTCATGTGACTCACATCAACCGCTTCATGAAAATCGTCAACTAATTACACCCCCTTGCCTCAATCTAGCTAGTCCTCTTGGTCAAGCATTGAGCCACCTCTTATAGTTACTTCTCTTCTTCTGCCCTAGTATCTATTATTAGTGCCACTAACAGTTCGGTAGTTAACGGGTATACCATTTCTTAAAGTTTAATATTCCAACAATTGAGGCGTGTGCGCATGTCATGTCAGTTCATCGGATCGGATATCTGTAGGTAGGACCTGAATTCCACCCCCACCCCCCCCCCCCCCCCCGCGTAGATGAAGACTACCCGTATTTTAAACAACCTAGGAGAAACAAAAAAAGAGAGAAAAATTTACCTCGGGAGTAATTAATTCCCCGAGCTCTGGGGGAGAAAGGGTGGGGTCTGATAAAGAAATTTCACCACTGAATTACAGGT